CGGCCCATTCCCGTAGAGGATGGACGTGTAGTTCTTGCCGTCAGCAGCTATACCCTGGGCTAGACCTGGGGAAGGGACAAGGGATGAGGGATGAGCCAAGAAACCCCCCTCATCGCGCCTCTGGCTACAGCCACGGCACCCCGGAGCTGGCAGCGCGCAGCATGGGGCCATGCCCCACTCTGAGCAGGCAGGCAGAGCCCTACCGAAGATGGAGGAGCCGCGCAGGGTGTAGCCACCAAAGGAGAAGACATGTGAGTGGTCGGCGGTGACAACGGTGAGGGTGTCCGCCTCATCTGTCAGGATGCCTGCCCGGTCGATGGCCCAGTCAAACTCCACCGCATCTGTCAGCGCCTTTTGGGCTGCACTTTCGTGGTGGCCATGCTGCAGAGGGATACCCAGCACCCTCAACCCTCACCTCCCACTGGAACCCCCGTCTTGCCCACCCCAGGACACTGGCCCTGACTTATCTTCCACAAAGAGGTAGAAACCGTTGGGGTTCCTGCTCAGGATGGTGATGGCTGCCTCCGTCATCTCGGTGAGCGATGGGTCCAGGGTGCGGTTACGCACGAGGTCATACGTCATGTCCAGGGGTTCAAAGAGACCTGGGAGGGGATACGTTGGGGGCAGCCTCAGCGCCTGCACACGTCCCTGTGCCTGCCAGGTGCCAGCGTGTGGGAGGTTTGTTACCCATCAAATACTTCACGCTGGGGTCAGCAGCAACCACCGCCATCCAGCATCTCTGTCCTGTTCCAGGCATAGCGAGCACCCTTTGGCAAATCCCACAAGGGGTCAGCGGATGCCTGGCCCCATGCCTGGGGGTGCTGGGCACAGGACTGTCCCCACCCCATCACCCACCGGCCGTGCCGCCAACCACATGTCGATGAGGTTTTTCCCATCCTCGCGCATCCCATTCGCCGTTGCAGAGGTGGGATACTCAGGGTCTGGCGTCCCTGCAGGGGTCATGTATCTTCGACCACCCCCCATGATCACCTGTAGGGGACGAGACAGGCACAGCATTAGCGGGGCTGCCTGCTGGGGTCTGCCCTTCCTCCACCCCACATGAACCGGGTTCTCACATTAATGTCGACGTTGTGGACCAGCTGCCA